ATGGAAATGTCTAACAAAACAACTGATCTTGAAAGAGACAAGATCTTCTACCAGGAAAGGTTAGCAGCTGCAGAGGAAGACGTGAAGAACCAGAAAAAGGCACACTCTCATAAAGTAAGCATTTTAAACGACAGGAATGATATTCTGCGGAAAAGACTTGCTGATAAATTTGAGAGGCTCTCCAAGGTTGTGGTGGCTTCTAAGGATGCTGATAACTCCATTGTTGAAATCTTGAAATCAGCAACTAAAGAGATGGAGGAAATGTGGTTTCAAAAGGACAATTGCATTATATGCACTCTTGAGAAACCAAACTGTGTAGTCATTCCTTGTCGTCATCAGATCACTTGTTTTAAGTGCACTTCACTCTTGGAGAAGTGTTCATATTGCAGAGGGCCCATAGAGCAAAAAATTCTCACTTATAGTTTGTAGAAATGTTTCACCCTTTAACTCTCAAAGGTGATTAACATGTAATTTCTCCACATAATGTCCATACATTTTTCAGCAAACTAGAGAGGAGAATACTCAAACTTATCAGTCAGAAGTTGTCATCTTAATCTGATGCCAAATTCTCCCAATTCCATCAGTAATCATGCGAGTGATTAACAAAATTGGACAACCGTAAAGCGGGAGTCTGATTTGTCAATCACAAGTATGATTACAGACAGAGTTGGACAACACAAAGTCCTGTTACCAATTAATCATAACCATTACAATTTCCAGAAAAAAAATTTAGGACAAACATCTCCAGTAAGAACAATGTCTAAAGCAAAATAGTCGGAAATTTCCTAGTTTTTTTTTTCGTGGTAAGTGGTTGTTGCTATGGTTATTGTTATCAATTCTGTGATTGGTGGATTTAGCTGAGTGGACTTAGTATGATTGGCTGCTTCAACTGTCTGATTCCAGGTGTCCAATTATAGCAAACAGTCCAATTACAACTGTACAGAGTGATTAGTGAAATATAGAGAAAGTGATGCACCAATCACATTTGAGGAAATTGTAATGGTTTTGATTAACAGGGAAACGTGTAGAAGATGAGGGAAGAATTTTCAATCAGATCTTGGGAGTTAAAAGGTGAACTGCAAATTTATTCATACACAAGTCTGTGGGACAAATTGCTTTATGAAAACTGTTTCCAAAGTAAGTCAGTGACTTAAGTTATAATTACAATTGAGGGAAAAATTATAATAACCCATTCACCCCTTAAAAGTGATAGCATCTAATTTCTGCTCACAGTATCACCCCTGAATCAAACAAAAGTAAAGAGAAAAAAAGGAAATAATTGCCAAGCAAAGAAGCTATTGACTGGTGGACAATTTCCCTCATCAGTAGTTCAGAAAATGTATAGAAAACAGTGTGGAGGATATGTATACTAATCATAGGATATAACGGGTTAGGAGTGATTAAAATTTAATATTTCCTTTCAGTAGCACTCATGAATCAACCAATTGAGGTTATGAGAATAAAGGACATGATCACCACCTGAAGAAGCTCTTGTTTGTTAAACAAATTCTCCCAGCCATTTCCATAGGAAATGTAAAGATCAGTATGGAAAATACGCATACTAATATTCGGGTGGTTACGGTTACCGGAAGTTCCTATTTACACGAGAGAGGGTTAGTGACAAATTTCCGTATCAAGTTCCCACGATGACTTATCTTTTATGCCATGCATACTCAACAAGTCATAGGGGTGTAACAATATATATTGCCCTGTGAGATTATTTTTTTCATAAACGATCATTCAACTTAAAGCTTCGCGTAAGATAAAATACTTAAGTTAGAGCATAATATGCCTCAGTTGACTTCGTCACTGTAATTACATGTTATGCGGCAGAAAAAATTAAAGCAACTAAAACTTATTTCAACTAGTTACTTGGAATGACTTCTTTCTCAAATCGTTATATTTCGAGCCATTTTAAGAGCCTGTTGTGCTTTGAGAACTGATTCGTTCACTCGATGTCTCTCTACAAGTTCAGTTCCCATGAAATAGCCTTCTTGTCGAGGTCTCCCATGGCTCCCGTCTGGGAAGGTAATTCGGCCTTCGCCATCGACTCTTCCACTCTGAAACCTGCCTTCAAAGCGCATCCCATCACTTCGCGTGAAAACTCCATAGCCATGGTATTTTCCGTTTTCGAATTCGCCCTCGTACAGGGAACCGTCGGGAAACTTCGCAACACCATGTCCGTGACAAAACCCACTTTGAAATTGTCCAGTATATTTCGTTCCGTCGACCAGGGTAAGTTCACCAATTCCGTGCTTTCTGCCATCGTTATTCCATTCCCCATCATATGTGTCTCCGATAGGGTACCTGAATTTATGTCTAGCTATCGCTTGGGAGCTGGGAGAAGACATTTCAAAGAATTCTTTAAGTTTTCTTAACTTTGATTATCACCAAAGAGTGGTTCGAAACCCCCGAAAGAAAAATCAAGACAGATGTTCCTAGCACCTTTGGCACCCTGGTGATGGAGAAATCAGCTGAAAAGTCAAAATAACAATGCCCTTACGGCCTCCTGCAAATAACATGGGACGAAACTATGCTAGAATCTAATCAAAGCTGGTAAACAAAAGTTTGCATTTGCATCGTAATCGAAGCCGGATTTATATTTCAGGCGTTCGTGTAAATTTCCCACAATCCTTCAAGCGGCCCCTGCCACGGTCAGCGGTAGCTCTTTTAGCGCCACTTTCAGAATACTTGGAAAAATTTCAAAATTTGATACACAGATTTAAATTGTTGGCAGCGATTTTGACGAAATAGTTCGTTTCCCGTTGATTTTAGCAGGTTACTGCGTGCTGAGTTGGTAGCAGTTTTCTTCAGTTGGAAATAAGACTGCACACTTGTTCTGCATCTTCATTTGATGTACATATAGCAGTTGTAAACATGGGGTTGGTTTGGAGTTCAAACCGAGACAAATTTGAGAACATTTTGCAGGAGGATGGAGGGAAAACTTGTTTATCTTCTGTGGATGACAGCTGGGATGATTCCGAGGAAAGCTTCTATGAAACTGTTGAGAGGCAATCACAGTCATCAAGTTGTGATAATCTTGTGCTAAAACTCGAGATCGACTCTGAAAATTTTGGTAAAGAATCGCCGACAACAACGTGTACTCCACGCGATGTACAACATGAAGAAAATATTTCACAGCCTGTTCTCCAAGTAATGTCCGGCAACACGGGTGAATCTTCAGGAAAATATTCCGAGACTAACTTTAAATGTATAGCTGATGAAGAAAAAAGTGACTGCATCGATTACAACATTGATAGATGGAAGACAGAAGTTGGCATTGATAGAGTTGACCCATCATTGGTTGAAAGGGAAGACCAAATCACAGAATGCAGCACCTTTTCGCTGCCATTAATTTCAGAGGAAAAACTGCTTCAGGGAAAGTATTCAGGTAAAAGCCCATCCAATCCTGCAATGCATCATGAAGAGAAGCTGATTCCACAACCTGCTCTTCAAGGAATGTCTAGCAACATATGCGGTTTAAACACAGGTGAAACTTTCAGAGGATCCTCAGAGACTAACACAAAATGCATGGCTAATGAAGAAGACAGTGACCGCAGTGTTAATGGTGTTGATAGATGGATGACACAACATAATAAAAGAACTGGTCCATTGTGGGTTGAAGGAGAGGATCAAATAATAGAATGCAGCACTTTTTCACTGCCTTTAATCTCAGAGGAAAAGCTGTTGCAGGGAAAGTGTGCAAGTAAAAGCCTATCTGAACCTGTAATGTCTGTGGCAGTTGATAATATACAGCAACAACAGTCTAAAGCACCTCAGCCTTGTGCATGGCAAGTTGATATAGACTGTTTCAAATCCAAGAAAAAGAAGAAACTACCCAAAAAGTATTTAAGAGACAGAGATGAAGACTTGCCGGCTGGTTATGATGATATTGATGGCATGTCTGTCAATAATCAAGGACCACACAGGAGATTTTTGGCTTCTACAAATATTGCAATTCAAGAAATGATGGCTGGAAGAAAAGTGCTAGACCTGAGAAGATGGTATAAATACTTATAATGCATTTGCACCAAAGCTGAAACATGTTTTAACCCTTAAACTCCCATGAGTGACCAAGACAGAATTTCTCATTGCATCATCAAATCAATATCAACCAGATAAGTGGTGAGAATAAAGAGAAATATCAATTTGGGAATAAGTAGTTGATCCAACATTAAATTCTCGGAACTAACATTATAAGAATTGTATGGTTGACAGTAAGGAGAATTACAAATTTGATCTGGGAGTTAAAGGGTTAAAGCTGCTTTTTCAAACATGGTAGGAAATTTTTTTTCATCACTAAATTTTCTCCAAGTGATATTTTTGGGTTCAAGTTTAGCACAGTAAAAATAACTGTTAGTGATAACTTAAAGTTTTAAACCTTATGTAAAATTTACATGTAGTCTTTCAGATTTCTCTTGCTTATCTTTTTTAAGTTAAGCCTGCTTTAACTACCTGCTTTAACCAAACATGTTTTGCTGGACAGGTGTTATTGGGGCATTCATCAAAACAGCTAAATTTGCCAACCATATAACCTCAGTGTAGAGCCTGCAACATTTATTTCAAACTTGGGCCTGCAAACACAGTATTTATTGGGAGCCAGTAGTCGCTGATGGGGTGCATGTAATTTTCTGTCATTTGTCTGAGGTTGGTTATTTCTATTTCCCATCCTCTGAGACCCAAGGGTAGTTGGTCAAGATAGCTTCATTTTCCCTTTGTCCAGTTGCTGTTGCTCAGCCAAAAAGTCCTTTACCAGAATTATCAACTTGGAAATATTCTTTGATAACTACCAAAAAATTCTCAAAAGTGGCCAACAAAAAAGAAAATGTGAAATCATCAGTTCGGAGAATGAGCTTTTCTGATCTTTGGAGGTTTAAGTTAAATCAAAAAGCTAACATCTAAAATACATCAAATTTTATATAATATATTGCCAGGTATTGTATAAGCCGGCCTCAATACAAGAAGTCCTGTGGTATTTCATCTGTGGTGTCTTGCTGGAATTTCCTGTTTAGCTCTCTTGGTGCAGGCAGGTGAGTTCTTTAAAATTTCTACTCTGTATGCAGTGAACTCATGCCTGCAGAAAGTCCTTATTTGTACAGGCAATTGCATGATTTTGAATGCAATTTGGAATAAATAAGCCCATAAGTTTTCTCAAAGACCCCAAAACTGTGTGAGGCCATGAGATTTATGAGTTGTGGTACTTATTCTGAATTGCACAAGAAAATATATGTGATGAATTATAAATGATATACTTAGAATGATATGAAGTAGCATTTCATACTTATGCACAAGCATAGATGCAAATTATTTTAAAAGATGATTCATTTTAAACCCTGTGAATGTAATTTTGTGGTCGGTCAAAACAACCACATCCAGTTAAAAAAGCAGTTTTTCTCTGTAGTTTTAAAACTTCTCAGAGAAACAGTTTGTTTCCTATTTGCACTGCAAAGCTATGGAAGGACAAATGTTTTGGCTTTTAAGCTGATTTATGGAATATAATTCAAAATTTTTATTTGGGAATAATTGTTTTGCACACACTATCTTCTAGTTTACAGCCCCTCAGTCAAGAGGATGCACTAAATATACTGGGATTCAAACCACCATTTGGAGAAATAAGGTTTGGACCTTTCACTGGAAATGCTACTTTAATGAGGTAAGAGATATCAAATTTAAGTCTGAACATTTTTTTTTTTTCACAAAGTGTAATTTTCAATATTACTCAGGTAAATCTGAAAGGGAGCAGGCCATCAAATATTCCTTAGCCAAAAAGTGTATTTTGAATGCAATTTCAAGCCAAATATAAAAAAAAATGGGGAATAAATTAGCTCATAGAAAAACACCAAGGAAATGGTTTTTTTTCAGAATTTTTGTCTATGGTAGTTTTTATGGTGTTGAGAATATTTTTTTTCTCTCCCAACCCTTAAGAGAGAAGCACACTAATATCAGTATGCATATTCCCCATACTATTTGCTATACATTTCCTAAGGTGCTGACAAAAAGAATTTGTTCATCAATCTTGAGAATATTGAGTTGGTGATCATTTCGTTTATTCTCATCACCTTACTGTGTGATGCAGGGGTTATACTGTTGGGAGAAATTATATGCTATTCACTCGCAGTGATTAAAGAGTTAAGTGGCAGAAAGCAATGCAGAATTCTTCAAAATTCTTTTCTAAGAAAAATCAGAACTTAAGTTCTTTCTACATTACTAAAAAAGAGGAACATAAATTTATGCTCTAGATGGTTCAAACAACTCTGCAATCACTTTGGAGTGGATGGGGATACCTATATTCTGTATAAACCAAAGGGAAAGAGTCGAACCATTGGTTTGAGTGGAGAAGAAGCCTTACGTCAGCTCAAGAAGGGCCTTCATAACCCTCAGATGTCTTACATTTATCATTGTTATAACCACTATTTTTGTCCCATTGGATATGAGGATTCACCCATTAAAGCTGCTGACGCATACAGGTGAACTTTAGGTGACCAATTTTTAACTTTTCGTCTTTGCTTCTCAATACTTTAACTACCAGAAGTGATGGACATGTAACCTCTCCCTGTAATTTCCATACATTATCCAGCAAACAGGTAATGAGAATACTCAAACTTTTCGTGTAGAAGTTTTTGTGATCTTACACCACATTCTTGTGACTAATTTACAGGGGCATATGTAGCAACTAGAGGGGAGAATTAACAATCAGATCTTGGAGGTTAAAGAGGATATGACCACTACACTAATCTTGCATGTCACATTAGTCAGTTAGCAAACCATGGGACCTGTCTTATGGTGGCTTATTCCAATTTTAGTGGCAATTTACTTCAGTCTCTTACTCAGACCTGCTTCTTCTGGAAGGAGAGGCCCTCTTGTCTGGTAGTACAACATTTTGATAAGGCCAGGGTTTGAATTTGGGAAAAATGTTGAGTCCAGCAGACCAACCAGGAGATACAGTGACCTATCACTTGGTGGGTTTGACTCGCGGTTGAGAGGTCTGTAGACTCAACACCTGGTTAGGCCATTGTGTTGTGTTCTTGGAGGTGGAACATAATTCTCTCTTACATAGCCTCCGTCCACCCAGGAGTAAGAATGGGTACCAGTTAACTGTCAGGGAAATCTTATGAAATGCTGAGGAGGTGTTG